CTTTTGAACAATAGGCTGAGTAGCTTGACATTATCCAACATTCTCTCAAGGCATGAATTTCAAGGCTGCAGAACAGCAACTTCTCCATCATTGCTCAACTTCCCTCTCCTGATTGTTTCCAGATTCCACATTGCTACAGACCTTCTTGTCTAAACATCCTTCCTTTCTGTACCAACAGTTTTATTGCTTCTGGAAAGTAGGGTGCTTGTGTGTTCAATCCCAGGGATAAAAACTTCTAAAAAATCATTAAGTTTTCTAGATGGCTGTGAGCTGTGGTCACTGGATGGACTCAAGCCAGTGACCTACAAGCCAGTGACCTAAAGGGTCACTTTAACTTTTTAAAGAATCTGACTTGAGAAAAAATTAAGACTAAGATTAGTGTTTCAACATAGGAGAGTCAGAAAACAGGCTGAAATTCCTGCTACTGCCATACCACAGTATGTAGGTGCATGCAGCACTGGACAGTGAACAGAGCTCTTTGCTATAAACAATCACATTTTCTGGTTAAGAGAGAAATGAAAATTTACCAATCCTAATGAAAATATGGAGCAACAAAACTCTCAGACACAGCTGGTGGGAGATAAGTTGGTATAGCAATCTTGGAGAACTATGTGGAAAATACACACGCTATGATCCAACAGTTCCACCCCTGGTATAGTTCCATCACATTTTCAAACAGTCTCAAATAATCTAAGGGCAGAATGAAAATGTTCTATATCTTAATTGTGGTGGCAGTTACCAAACTGTACATTCATCAAAACTCACAGAAATATATACACAAAAGAGTAAATCTTTGCTTTAATTTTTAAAAGATTTAAAGACTAGGGAGGGACTTCCCTGGTGGTCCAGTGACTGACTCCATGCTCCCAATACAGGGGGCCCAGGTTCAATCCCTGGTCAGGAAACTAGATCCTACAATTAAGACCCGGTGCATCCAAATAAGTAAACAAATAAATGCCAGGGAATTCCCTGGCATCCAGTGATTAGGACTCTGCTCTTTCACTGCCATGGCTCAGGTTCAATTCCTGGTTGAGTAACTAAGATCCTGCAAGATGCATGGCAAGCCCCCAAACCCCCAATGTTTAAAGGCCAGAAGAAAAAAAGTAGAAGAAATAATTCAATTTAGGAATATATCCATACAGTGAGAATAAACTATTAGTAAAAGAAACAGGATGGACCTCAAATCATTATGCTGAGTGAAAATACTGCTGCTAAGTAACTTCAGTCATGTCCAACTCTGTGCTACCCCATAGATGGCAGCCCACCAGGCTCCACTGTCCCTGGGATTCTCCAGGCAAGAACACTGGAGTGGGTTGCCATTTCCTTCTCCAATGAAGGCAAGTGAAAAGTGAAAGTGAAGTCGCTCAGTCGTGTCCAACCCTTCGCAACCTCATGGACTGCAGCCTACCAGGCTCCTCCGTCCATGGGATTTTCCAGGCAAGAGTACTGGAGTGGGTTGCCATTGCCTTCTGCCATTGCTGAGTGAAAATAGTCAGACACAAAAGTGTATGAAGCTCAAGAACAGGTAAAACTAATCTACTACAATTGAGGTCAACTAGTGGTGACTCGAGTGTGGGTAACTGGGAGAGAGCAGGAGGAAACCTTCCGGGATGCTGTGTGGTACCTTCTCACATCTGTGCCCTATGTTTAAGATATGTACCTTTGAGGAAATGTCAGTCTTTCCCCAATTTAAAAAGAAAACATTTTTTAAATTGTCATTGCAAATGACAAATAGCAAGCAAATCCAATGATCCCCAGCCCCCTGACTCTGTCAGGTCTAGCACAGGCTCCTGTGTGACTCTTAAACCATGTGAGTAGGCTGCATGTGGCTGCTCCCAGGCTCCTAGCCAGAGGTGGGAATTCCTGCCCTGACTTGGCATAAGCAAAACAACCTTTAAAACTGGCTGACAGCCCAGGATTTTAAACTGCTTCCTTGCCTGATCCACCCCTCTTTTTGATCATCCAGGAATAAAGTTATAGCTTCTCTTCCTGGTAGGGACTGCAGCACCTCTGCCCTATCCTATGAAATTCCCAGGACAGGGAGGTCTTGGCTCAACCCAAACTGGAGAGGTGAACCCTAGCACCCTGTCTACCAGGCCCAGGGACCAAGGCCTTCTCTGAGGGAAGACTCTTGTCCTCACTTGATCAAGGTCCCTTCCTCTTGTTTCCCCTGCAAAATGAGCTAAATGTGTGACCTGGTGTGCTTAGGAGACACTAGGTAAAAGTATCTGGGGGCAGACTAAGTGATCACAACCGACTATGATGGGTTATGAGTGGGGCAGAGGTGGCCACAGCTGTCAGCACCTAGCTCAGTCTGGGCGGTGTTAAGACACTCACCCCCATTGCTTTCTCCTCCCCCTGTGATCTGATCCACATGGCCAGGGTGGTAAGAGGACTCTTAGAGCAGAAGCCAGGCAGCCTAGCCCCACCTTCTTGCCTCTTAGGGAGGTGGGAAGGTGAAGAGTGAAAGTCCCGGGCAGCTGGAATACCTACTTTGCTTGTATCTGCTGTGTGACTTGGGGCAGGTGAGTGCCCTTTGAGTATCCAGGGGCCTTCCTCCTCATAAAACCAGACCACTTGAGCACTCAGGGTGGAGCAGGCAAATCTCAGCAGAACTGTGCCCAGGGCTCGCTCTCTCTCCTCTCCCTCTACTTCCTCTTTCTCAGGGGTCTGCACAAGTATTTCCCCTTTTCTGGGGCAAATCCCCTCACCCAGAGAAGGCTGGCTTAGTGCCAGCTGCCTGCTCAGTGGAGGGGCTTCTGGGCTACACTTCCTGAGTAGAAGCCCAGCATCCCCCAATATCATCCCTCCTACCTATTGTGCCCTTGCAGCAGGCTCAAGACCAAGATTGAAGACAAAGGAGCTTAAGAAACTTGGGGTCAGGGGGACAAGTTAGAGACAGGGTAAGTGTCCTTTAGACTCAGCCTAGGACTCTCAAGTCCCTTCTTCCTGCTCTGGCAAGAAAACAGCCTGTTTCCCCACCTGCAGAATGGAGCAAATAATCGTGGCAAGGTAGAAGAACTTTAACAAAAAGTGGGAATGACACTTGACATGTTGTGTGAGCACTCTGTGTCTTATCAGGCAGTGTCTTAGTTGTACATTTGCAAAGGAGCCCCTACCATCATAGCTCATATTTGGGCTGGTGTGGCGGAGAGTAGTTTGCTGTGGTATTCCAAGGGGATTTCCTGACACATTCAGGTTTCTGGTTCTCCCAGATCCGCCCTTTCCCACTCTTTTACCTTGACCTTGGCACTTCCTAAGTGGTGGAACCTTTGCTGAGTGCTGGGGATAATGAAAGTCATTTCCCTAACAGAGCAGGGAGGCTTCTGGGAAGCATTAACATTTGAAATTGAATCTCGAAATTGAATTTGAAATTGAGAAATAACAGATTGGGGAGAGCATTCCTGAGTGTAATATTGCAGATGCAAGGACAAGGAAATGTGAACAGCACCTATGGGGGATTTAATTCAGCAAGAGGTGAGGAATGAGGCAGGAGAGGGTCTAGGTCCTAAAGGACTTAGAGACTTTTAAGGACTAAGAGACTTAGGACTTTATGAGACTTTTAAGATTCTGAAGACAATGGTGAGCCACTGACAGTTGTAGGGAACAGACTTGATGACATCATTCCTGCCTTCTTGGTGCAGAATTTAGGAGGAAGGTGGACCCCAGAAGTGCTTAAGAAGCCAGATGAGGGGAACAGGAAGGCTGAATCCAAAATCTTGGCAAGACTTGGGAAGAGGGTTTGAGGCCACTTCCCCAGGAGGCTTCCAGTCCCAATCCGGTGCCTTGCCTCTGCTGTATTCCACCATTAGGGTCTGCCATAGTCTTATTAAGGGCTCAACAGGATACAATGCTACTTACTCAACTTGCTCAGTGCTTTATTGAACCAAGACCCTTCCAGATGACTCAGCAGAGCCTTCAAGAAGCCCTGCCCATTTCCCAAGATTCAGAATCCAGAGGTGGCTGGCCTTAGTTTAGCTGCTTCCATGACATTTCCTTTTGAATATCTCCAAATCTTAAAGTGTAAAGATATTGTCCACACAGACAGGCACATGTATACTCCTGCTGCAGGCAGTCATGCCCACTGAAATGCTTTCAGTTCAGTGGTTTGTGGACAAGGCATTGTGGGTCTATGGCCACCCATGCATCCACCATCCATCCACACTTCCATTCGTCCATCTGTCCGTCCGTGACGAGACAGTAGCAAGTTCTGACATGGGTTCAGGCCCCAGGGTTCACAGCAGTGAGGGCTAGGTTTCCAGTGGGCTCAGGATGCAGGCCTTAACCCTCACCCAGGGGCCTCCATAGATGATAACATCTCTTTCCGAGCCACAAGAAGCCAGGCCCAAGTGGGTTATGAATGTTTATATCTTTAACAACTGGACAGGGAAAACCTAAACCTTAGCCTGTAACTATCCTGAGATGGAAAAAAAAGAGATCAAACATACAACTAACACTGAAACAGGAAGGAGGAAGAGCTCACGCCTGTGCTAGAGATGTTCACATGGAGAGACGGGAAGGAGAAAGGGGAGTGTGGCACACATACTTAGGAGTGTGTTAGCACCTGGGACACAGTGCTAACTCCGAGGGTAGCAGTGGCTCCTCCTAGGAGGCTGGAGCTTTCTCTCAGCCACATACATATAAACAAAGCTCTTAGAAAAAAAGAGGCTTTTCCAAATACAGGAAGACAAAGGGTTAACCTAAACAAGGAAGAAAAAAACACCAAAAAGGCTCCTGTTAGACACAAATACTTCCTTTGAGCTAGACTTAATCCAATTTCACTTAGTCAGCAGGCTGGGCTCTCCCGGGGTGAGGGTGGGGGTGTCCCTAGGATATGGAACATGACTGGAGTGAGACAGAGGATCAGGGCTGGTGCAGACAGAGAGGATGCCCTCACTGTCTTTTCCCTGGACAGCAGACCCTCAGCCCCGGAGACTACAGGGCGGCTGATGGCCAGGCCGCACAAAGCAAGGAAGGCGGGTGGGACAGTTGCTGGCCCGTCACTGGTCCTGCAGGCGGCTGCAGAGCTCTCGCCGGCTCCGCTCGCCAGCCCAGCTGCGTGTCTTGAGGCGAAAGGTCTTCAGTTCATCCTTGAAGTCCTCATGGTTCATGGGCCGGTAGTCTTGAGGCTCACAGAAGGTCTAGGGCAGGATGGGATGGGGCAATCAACATGGGGAACTGGGCAACTTCAGGGAGGACCCTGTCCTTCCTTATCCGAGGGCTACTGCCTGGTCAACCCCTCTCCCTGTAGCCCAACCCTCCCACGAAGGCTATGGCCACCCCCATCCGTGGTACCGGGTGCTGTGGGAAGAAGTCCTTGTAGCCGCCTTTGAGGATATACATCTCAGGATAGTAGAGGCTGGGGTAGTCGTTGGAGGCTCTGTCTCGTTCCCTGATGAAACGGCACCTGGGACCAGTAGGGATGCGGGGGTGAGAGCTGGGTGTGCAGTGGGATGGATCAGGGGACCTGCTCCCTGCACCCACTCCTCTGGGAACCACAGAAGGCTTGATTGCAGGAATGTCAGCCACAAGAACACTTTTAGTTCAGTCTGGCTAACTGGGTACACAAGAGGTTGGGGAGACAGAAAAAAGCAAATCAAAGGGGCTCTGTGTCCAGAAGACAGTTAGAAAATCTCTGTCCGAGACATTGCTTCTGGGCCAGGAAAGTGGAGGCAGAAGGGAGAACAAGTGAACCAAGTTCAAGAGGTAAGAGTCAGAAGGTCTGGACAAGGCTTTGTGAGGAGATGGAGAGAGGAAAGAACAATCGAACCCTGGAAGGGTCAGCATCACTGAGGACTAGGACAGGGCCTTTGGATTTTAAGGACACCGCTGGAGAGGTAGAATTAGGTTTTGTGGGGATGGCAGCAATGGACAGAGGGAAGATGGGAGGCCTGACGAAAGGATGAGAGGAGACAGGAGGACGGTGCCATGCACGGGGAAGCAGGGATAAGGTCTGCGTCAAGCTCCAAGGTGAAATAAGAGGCCCAGGTCAAGGAGGGACCGGGGCTGGGCTCATGCCTCTTGGCCACTGGATGGTTCCAGCACCCGAAAGCCTAAACGTGGAAGGTGAGGAGCAGCAGTCGCTGGCTGGGCGGAGCCAGGACTCACATGCGGGGGCCCCGCTCAGATGAAAATTCACAGTGGAAAATGAGGATGACTCTCTTATCCAGGTTGCAGGGTGTGATGGGGCTCTGCAGCAGGAAGGTCTCGGCATCCCGTTCCAGAGGCAGGTTCACAGCAGTCTGCCAGAGAAGCCAGAGGTCAGGCTGCAGATGTGCGCGGCTGACCCTGCCCTGTGTGGTCCCCATCTTTCAGATGAGTGACTCCACCTCTTGAAGGGCAGATCCTACCCCAGGAGAGGGCGCATCCTCTGGGCAGAGGAAGGACAGAACTGGATGAGTCTTCAGGGCCTTTCCCATCACCCTTTCTCACCTTGATGTGCCCGCCTTCATACTCATAGGGGTATCTGCAGTCGACAATCACAAACTTCTCCACGATGTGGCTAAACTTGCCTGTCAGCAGAGCCACCACCTGCAGGAGGCCGCGGAGGTGGGTCCCAGTGGTTCAGGCTGGCAGGCAGGGGCTGACCCAGCTCTTGTAGCCTGACTCCAGGGGAGGTTAACAAGCAAACAGAAGTCCCAAAGGCACCAAAAAATAGCTCATCCCTGCATACCGTTTCTGGTGAGATGTACTTGAGGTCTTGGTGCTTTCCATCCACAGTCTGTAGGAGGAAGGCCTGAAGAGAAGGGGAGAGAGACAGTGACATTGGCAAGAGCAGGAACCTGAGAAAAATGAATTTTTCCTCAAGTCTGAAAGCCAAACTTGCTTGACTTTCCCTTTTTAAAAAAATATTTATTTATTTGTTTTATTTGGCTGCATCCGGTCTTAGTTGCATGGGATCTTTGATCTTCACTGCTGCATGTGGGATTTTTTGCAGCACATGAACTCTTAGTTGCACCATGTGGGATCTAGTTTCCTGACCAGGGATCCAACCTGGGTCCCCTGCATTGGCAGCCTGGAGTCTTAGCCACTGGACCACCAGGGAAGTATCTGCTTTGGTTTTCAAATTAAGCTCTGGTTCCCAGAGCAACCAAGAAGTGCCTCTAGGGTCTGATCCCCAGAAAACAACCTTCCAAGGGGAAATGAAGGTGGGGAGCAGAGGATATGAAGCCTTCATGCCTCCTGCCCCCATGCTTTGCCAAGCAGGCCCCAGGAGGCTCCAAGCAAGATGGAAATCTCCAAGGTGGAGATACCACTGATGCCCTGGACAGATTTGAGATAAGAGATCAAAGAGAGCCAGAGAGAGCAGTCTGGGTGAGAATATAGGATAAGATGCAAAGGACAAAATGAGGGGATTCTGGGAGAGTGGGAGTCACTGAAGTAGTTGCTGGGTTCAGGGGCCACATGGTAAGGAAACAAGCTTCCTGAGGGTCCCACTGCTGGTACCTTGGAGTAATCCCCGATCAGTTCTCGGTGGTCACTGTCCAGGATATTCTCAATCTCGTCATGACACAGAGACTTTGAGCGGAGAATGCGGGCTTTCTGTGAGGCAAGTGGCAGCCAGGGTCAGGGGTGAGGCTGTCCCCTCAGTGCCCCATCTGGTTAATATCACTCTTCCTTGCACCCTGCCCCCCTCTACAAACCCAGCTGAGAAGGGCTTACAGGGTGGACTTGGAGGGTGGCAGCCCAGCCCGGGAGGAGGGTACTCACGGGTTCCTCAGCCTCCCGCAGCTCCTCCTCTGGAGGGGTCACGCTCCTTCTCCGCTTGTTCTGTACAGGCAGATCCCGGTCCTGCGGGCGCTCCAGCCTCTTGAGGATGGGCCGGATCACACTGCAGGGCATGGACGGAGAGCGGAAGAGCCGCTGGCACTTGCTGTACATGATGAGGTCCTGGCAGAGGCAGCAGGTCCGGGGTCAGCGTTCCTAGCCCCTGCTTTCCATCCCAGTCTCACTCAGAGGATAGGGCCCCACCACTCCCAAGTTTTGAGGGGCTTATCCAGGGGCTCACCTGTTCCTCCTCCTTTTCTGAGGTCTTGACCAGTGGGGCACTAATGAGGCTCTCCATGCCTGGGGGAACTACATCATTCTCCTGAGGCCAGATCAGCAAGGGTATGGTCACACTCGCAGGCACAGGTCCAACCCCTAAGGCCCCGAGTCCTCCAGGGCAGTTTTCCCAGTTCTCCCAGCAAAACTCCAGGCCAACAGCCCTTGGTGACCCTGCTAACACCTCCACACAGGGCAGCCCCCAGAACCAGGAAACTGCGGGGCCCCACTCGCCGGAGGGACTTGCATAGCTATGAGAAGCATGGCGATGCAGGAAGACCAGGCTTCCCTTTGCCCTGCCCATCCACCCTCCACTGCAGCACCAGTCACTTCCTCTTCTCTGATTGGCCAGAGGTCAGGCTGTGACTCAGTTACCTCCAGTTCTTCTTCTGACATTGAAATGAGGTCATAGTCTTACTGTAGGAGCTCAGAGCTTACCTCTTTCAGGAGATCTCAGGAGGGGAGAGGTAGGGGCCCTGACAAGGCAAGGCTGTTTACCTTTAAGTCAGTCTCCAGGATATCCACGAATCCATCATCTTCCTCAACAGCCCCTGTGGAGGGGGTCAGAGAAAAGTGGCATCGGGCCAGGGGGATCAGCTCCTCTACTTCCATCTTCCGCTCAGGGGTGAGACACTGCATGGGTGACGAACAGACAGAGGAGACTCAACATGGGGCCCTGAGACAAGTCTCCATCCTAACCTTCTGAGAAATAAGGTTCCCACTGCCTCAGGGCTCAGGATCACCCCCAAGTTCCCCGGGCTGCCTTCACAGGCACCTGCCCTGTGTGCATGCCTGCCCTGCATGGGTCAGCTCTCCTGGTATACCATCAGGTCGGGAGCCGAGCTTGGCCTCTGGGCAAAGGCTTCTCTGCGGCTGGCCCACTCCCCAAGAGCACGGGAGTGGCTGGGATGTGTGGGTTTCCCCGGCATCTTGAAGACAAATCCATCCTGTGGGCAATAAGTTGGGGGGGGGGTGGTGCATGATCAAATGCCAGAAAACACTCCAGTAAGCCCCCCTCTATCCCTGAAGTGCTTCGACTCTGGCCTTTTGGAAACGCACATTCTCTTTGTCCTCCCCAGAGCCGTGGGCAGCTTGGTCACACGCCTCACTCTTCCTCCAGGTGCCAGACGCTTGGGAGTTGGTGATGTTCCGTAGCACAGGACTGTGGCCCAGAAGCTTCCCCTAGAGAGCCAGGAGGGCAGTAGGTACAGAAGGCTGCATTCCTCGAGTGCCAGCCCAGGGCCTACCTTCTCCCATCCCGGCTCCAACTCCCCCAGCTCCCATAGCCAGACAAGGGACACCCAACTGCTTCAAGTCCGCCCTCTGAGAACCAATCCAGGTCCCTCCTGCCCCCTACAATCCTGGCCAGCAGGCCCAAGTCTCCCAGTGGGCCTCAGAGGACACTCACCGGCAAGGACTGGAAACGTCGGATGGCAAACTGCTCACTGCAGAAGGAAACAGGGATACCTTAGTGCTGGAGAGTCAGGCTGTGATGGAGAATATGCAGGCTGCCCCTCCACCACAGAGCCCTGTACATCCTGGGGCCTATACCACCCACACGGGGCAGGGGAGCCTGTGCAATGAAGGCCAAAGCACTTACTTTCGAATAACTCGGCTGGCTGCCTGGATGGCCTGTTCAAACCTAGGACAGAGAAGGGTCCCATTCAACCTAGGTCTCCTCACAGCCCATTGCCTATCCCCAGCCTTTGGTCCTCAGTCCACAAGGCCCAGGGGAGCCTTGTAGCCAGGGGAAAGAGGAGGTAGGAAGAATGCAGCACCTATCAGGGCCCAGGTATAGGGGAAGAGGGAGATAAGAGGCAGCCTGGGATTTTAAAAGCTGCCCTAAATGGAAGAGGCCGGAAGAATGGCAGTGACAGAGACAGCTGGGGTAGGTCTCGAGGAGTTACCAAGGCAACGGTCTCACCAGCCTGCCCACAGGCCTTCCACCTGTATGCAAATCACCTCAGCAGGGCCATATGGCTGCCAAGAAAGGCATCCATCCATCCCATGACAGCCCTTGTCCTGAAAATGGGGGTGTCTCCAGGGCCTGGATACCAGCAAGGCAGGGCTTCCCTCCCCTTGTGTGGGATAGTCCTGGCTCCTCCAGGACAGGGGCCTGGTTCAGTGTGCCCCTGGATCAGCCCCAGTCTGCTATGTCAGACCCCCTAGTGACAAATGTTCAAGGTCATAACCTCTCCTCCCTCCTGTGGAATTTTAGGACCCAGCCTCTGTCCCACCCCCCGCCCCCCTCCTGCCCTAGAAGAGGCCAGCAGGCAAAGAATTCCAACAGATGTTCCTTCTGAGCCTAGCTACGTTACCAGGAACCACCTGCCAGGCAGGGCTTTTGTGTGTCTATGTGTACACACACACACACACACTTCTTTCTGTGTAACCGTTAAGGCAGGTGCAGTGTTGGTGGTGGGAAACTGAGGGCTAAAGTGTCAAGAGGATGGGCACCCCCCGCAAGGTGGGGCAGGGTGGCTGTATGCAGCCAACCTGGCACCAGGATGACCAATTTAATTGGCTTGGTTTTCAATCTGCATCTGGGCCCTAGGGGTAAAGCAGGGACAGCTCTGAGTTATCATCAAAACCCAACCTGCGGTCCCCACACCACCACCCGATGCTCTCCCCATTTCCTGTTTATGAACAAACCTGCAGCCCAGCCCAGTCTGATCAAAGGCAATGGGAGGAAAGAGAGCCACCGCCCTAAACCCAAATCCTCAGTCCCTCAGCCCAGGCTGGGGATGCCTGCTGTTCCCAGGAAGGCCTGACAGCTGCTCTCCCTGCTGGGGCCTGAACAGCTGGATGGAACAGCTGTGCTCTGGAAGGTACTACTCATGCCCCACAACCAAGAAGCAGAGAACTGTGTTGAGCAGAGCCCCCCAATTTCTCCACTCTCCTTCACAAAGGGCCTGGTCCAAGGGTTGACCAGCGGGTGAAATGTCACTGAAACCAGTGGTTACTGATAGGAGGGCCAAGAGCCAAACCAGCTTGCAGCAACTGTTTTGTTTGGCCTAGAGTAAATTAAAAACTTTGAATTAGTTGGACCATATTTTAAAATCGTGATAATTCACAGGAAAAAAAATCTGTGTATAGGCGGAAAGGTCACATACAGTCCTGTATTCCCGCAAGAGGCTCCCTGTGGCTACCGTTCCTTCCACCCTGGTCCTGAACCCATTCTAAGCTGCTCCCATGATAGTAGACCCTTCCCTGAGACAAGCAGAATTCCAGTACATGGGAAGGTCAATTAATGCCCCTATATGAGGGTTCAAAGAGGTCTGTCTCCTCTCCAAGCTCCCCTAGTGAGTTTAGGGTGGAACTAAGATTTCCAAGGGCAGGTTCCCCTCCTTGACCGTGTGGTCCCTCTTCTCTACTCACGTCTGCTCTGCCATGTTGGGGTCCATAGGGCTGGGAGAGTCCATGCACAGACCTGAGAGACAGAGTGCCTTGGTTTGAAAGTGGTGGCATTTCCTGCACACTTTTCCCTACCATGTCCCAACCCTATTCAGAGAAGGGGGGAAAACCTGTTTTTATCTCAGGTCTTGATACATTACAAACTGAAAGAAAATCCACCCATAGACCCCAAGGCCTGACACATTGCCAAGTTACACAGAGCTCTATCCCCTATTTACTATGGAATCACCTATTACTATGGAAACTATAAAGCCTAAAGTTTAGGCTTTAAACCAAAATTCGGCTAAGCATTTTTCTTGAACTGATTTAAAATAATTTGTTCTAGAAGAGATTACAGCTTTTAATGAAAATTAAAGCTGAAGGCAAGTGAATGTTATAAAATGACAGACTTTCAGCCTAATTGCCTTCCAGGTGGGGCTGTGGTTTAGGACTTCTGCACCTAGTTTTAAATAGTAAGATCTCATCTCTCTCGGAGGAACCCACCCAGCACCCGCCTTGCTCAGCCAGTCCATGCTGGGTGTGGTATGCCCCACCAGAAGTGAGCAGGGGGAGGCTGCTGGAGTCCCATCAGGTTGTGGTGAGGATGTTAGTCTGATCAGCAGGGAAGTGGGGAGGCTCAGGTAGCCCCCCAAACTCCCCTGGCACCCCTGGGCCTCACCTGCATCAGAAGATTCAGAGGACTCAGACGACAGGGAGGATTCAGACGCCCGACGGGACAGGGATAGGCATGTGAGCAGGCTGCCTACCTGACTCTTTGGGGTCTCGCTGGGAAGGGAGCAGGGACCCAGGGAAGGAGAAAGGTAAATGTGGAGCTCAAGGGCTGGCTGGCCCATGTTCCCACCAACACCGCCAGCCCCCCCAACCTCTGAAGGGCCCTTCCAGTCACTGCACTGTCCCAGGGAGGTAATGGCATCAAGGATCTACCCTCTTCTCAGGCCTTCTACAGAGGCCCTAAGTGTCTTCTCTTTGCTGATTGATTAAAGGTTCTCCTGGGTGCAGGGAAGGTGAACCCAGGGCAAGAGCAAGGAGGTGGGTTGGGACCATCCTGGGGAATGGTGGGGCAGCAGACAGCCCTAGAGGGCCATCCCCTAAACTCTTCAGGTCCCTGCCCACCCACAAGCCTTTCTGGAGGAATGGCCAAGCCTTTGGTCTTTATTGCTTCAAGGACAACCCAGCCTGGAGCTGCAGACTTGCTCAGGGAACAGGACCAGTGTTTAACCCCTTTACCCCAGGAAAGAACTGAGGATGGAGGGAACATGACCACCCTCAAATCCCCTCTCCAGGCTCAGGATCCCCTGCCTGGGGCAAAATGGTGGAGATTTGAGCCAAGATTAGGGAGGCAGCATGGTGGAGGTGGGGAAGAGGGTCTCCAGAGGCTTGTGGCATCCAAGAACAAGTCACTTGGAGGGTGTGAGCAGCACAGCTCGATTCTGAGCCCTGAAGCAGGCTGTGTCTGGGATGCCTCTCCGTTTGGCACCCATGCCGGTTCCCGACAGGCCTGGGACCAAACCCTAGTGCGGGCCTCCCACCCCACCCCAAGCATCCCTGGGGCCCCCTACCTGCCGAGCCCAGCGAGGTGGTGCATAGTCTGTGTGAGGGTGGTGACCGGCGAGGAAGTGGCCGCGCGCTCCGGAGACCCCAGGAGGCCATGAGCCCCCAGCCGGAGGCCCGGGAGGTGGCCAGGACGCTGGGCGCCACCGCGCATGCCGGCCGGACTGAGAGCCGAGCCGGCCACGGGCTCCGGCTGGGGCAGCTCCATCGAGGTGGGGCGGGCGGGCCTGGCGTAGGGCGACCAACAGACGCCGGGCACAGCTGGCCTGGACGAGGTAGGGAGCCGGCCCGGGGTGGAGGGGAAGGGAGGGAGGAAGAGCAACGGGGCAGGAGCGAGAGAGGAGAGGGAAGTGGGGAGGGTGGGGAAGGGAGGAGGGACACGGGGACAGGCCACCAGCCCAGGAAGCCTCTAGCAGAGGCTGCCACCTCCACCTCCTTATATATTCGAAAAATAACAGCGGCCGCGCCGCCGGACGCCGCCAATGGGGGCGCAGTAAAGAAGAGAGGCGGGACAGAGGGCGGGGCCAGTGTGGTGGAAGGCGCGGAGGCTGGACCAGCCTGGCCTCGCCCAGTTCCAGGCTTGGGGTCGGGTGGAGAAATCGAGGAATTAACCCTCGCACTCCCTCCCAGCCAAGGTTTAAGGAGCCGGGCTTCTCAAATTCCGATTCTCAGTGTGTGGTTTGGAGCTACCCACCCCCCACCCCCAGCGAACAAGGCCTCAGGAGATACAACTTCCTAGAGTAGCCTCAGAGGGACCCCGCCCTTTAACATCACTTACAAGTACCGGCTGGCATCATGAGAGCCTCCATTCCAAGAATCTGCGGAATACAGTTGTGCAATGCGGTCTGTGTTCGCCGTTCCACTTTACCGACAGAGACGATGAGGCGTAGAGAAGTTCATTAACTCGTTCAAGGTCACATGATTGTGCAGATGGTGGAGTGGAGATTCACCCTAGGTACATCTACTCTCCCAGCTTCCCTGACCCCGCGACTGGCAGCTCCTGGGGCGGCCCCCAGAGTAATTCCCACGGGGAGCCCCCGGTGCTGGAGGTGGACCCTTGGTGGGGGCCGACACATAACTAGACAGTGTTTCCGAGGGTCCCCGGTTAGATGTGATCCCAAGCCGCCCAGTTTCTTCTGGCAGCTCCAGAGGAGGCTCTAAGGATTGGTCTAGTCGTGAGTTTTGGCAGTGAGGACAAAGGAGGGTGTCAGCAGTCTCAGAACCCAGTTATGGAATGCCTATTGATGATTTGGCTAACTTGGTGCCAATGTTTAATTGGTGTTTCTTTGATCAGGGAGGCTGAATTTGTCACTAGTTTTAACTGAGCATCTTCTAATTATCTGATCACCTGCCAGTGAGCTTGCTGTCCTTGACTGTGGTGGGAAGGCTGCACTCAAAAGTGGGGAGTAAGCTGTTTTTGCACCCCATCTTCCCAGGGAAGAGGTGGCCTCCAGCTTATCAGGTCACAGCTCAAGAATGCTGGCACTGCAGCCTTGAGCCCCTTCCCATACAGCTCCAATCCTTTAGGCCAAGGAGCAGTAGCAGGGGGTGGGAGGGGGTGGCAGAAAGGAGGGCCTGGCACTGGGTGCTGGGGCAGGCCAGGAGAAACATGGAAGAGGGAATGAGAAGACCCTAGTCCCATCTGAGAGGGGTGAGGAGGGTGGGGATGTGACAAAAGTAGATCATGAACCCCAGACAAATCCTCAGGACTCTTCCCCAGTCACTATAGTGAATATGTTGCATATTCTTTCCGAGTTTAGTCTAAACAGTCCTAACCAATAAAACAATATGGAAGACACATAGGTAATTTAAAATTTTCTAGTAGGCACATTTAAAAAAGTAACAAGAAACAGATGAAACTTTAATATTTTATTTAACCTAATATATTGTTTTTAATTTCAGCTTGAGAACTTTTTAATAATTTTAGTTATTTATTTGGTTATGCAAGCTCTCAATTGGAGCACCTGGGATCTTGGATCTTTGCTGTGGCATGCAGGATCTTCAGCCATGGCATGTAGGATCCAGGTCCCCAACTGGGGACCAATACTATCACCCCTACACATTGGGAGTGTGGAGTCCCAGCCACAGGGACCACCAGTCAGTCAGTTCAGTCGCTCAGCCATGTCCAACTCTTTGTGACCCCATGGACTGCAGCTTGCCAGGCTTCCCTGTCCATCACCATCTCCCAGAGATTGCTCAAACTCATGTCCATTGAGTCAGTGATGCCATCCAACCATCTCATCCTCTGTCATCCCCTTCTCTGCTTGCCTTCCATCTTTCCCAGCATCAGGGTCTTTTCCAATGAGTCAGTTCTTCTCATGAGGTGGCCAAAGTATTGGAGCTTCCACTTCAGCATCAGTTTTTCCAATGAATATTCAGGGTTGATTTCCTTTAGGATTGACTAGTTTGATCTCCTTGCAGTCCAAGGGACTCTCAAGAGTGTTCTCCAATACCACAGTTCAAAGTCATCAATTCTTCACACTCAGCTTTCCAACTCTCACATCCATACATGACTACTGGAAAAACCATAGCTTTGACTAGATGGACCTTTGTCCACAAAGTAATGTCTCTGCTTTTTAATAGGCTCTCAAGGTTTCTCATAGCTTTTCTTTCAAGGAGCAAGCGTCTTTTAATTTCGTGGCTGCAGTCACCATCTGCAGTGATTTTGGAGCCCAAGAAAATAAAGTCTGTCACTGTTTCCATTGTTACTCCATTTATTTGCCATGAAGTGATGGGACCGGATGCCATGATCTTTGTTTTTTGAATGTTGAGTGTTAAGTCAGCTTTTTCACTCTCCTCTTTCATTTTCATCAAGAGGCTCTTTATTTGCTCTTCACTTTCTGCCATAAGGGTGGTGTCATCTGCGTATCTGAGGTTATTGATATTTTTCCTAGCAATCTGGATTCCAACTTGTGCTTCATCCAGCCTGGCATTTCTCATGATGTACTCTGCATATGTTATATAAGCAGGGTGACAATATACAGCCTTGACATACTCCTTTCCAGTTTGGAACCAGTCCATTGTTCCATGTCCAGTTCTAACTGTTGCTTCTTGACCTGCATACAGATTTCTTAGGAGGCAGGTCAGGTGGTCTGGTATGCCCATCTCTTTAAGAATTTTCCACAGTTTATTGTGATCCACACAGTCAAAGGCTTTGGCATAGTCAATAAAACAGAAGTAGATGTTTTTCTGGAACTCTCTTGCTTTTTCTATGATCCAACAGAAGCTGGCAATTTGATCTTTGGTTCCTCTGCCTTTTCTAAATCCAGTTTGAACGTCTGGAAGTTTTCAGTTCATGTACTATTGAAGCCTCACTTGGATAATTTTGAGCATTACTTTGCTAGCGACCACCAGGGAAGTCCCTAATGTAATGGATTTTTAAAGTTATCATTTCAACATGTTATCGATATAAAAATTGTTAATGAAATGTTTTACATACTTTTTTTTCTGATACTAAGCCTTCAAAGTCCAATGTGCATCTTACACACACAGCACATCTCAATTTGGAACTGCCATATTTCAAGTGCTCAGTAACCTCATGGGCTACTCTAGTGGACAGTGTGTATCTATATATTCAATTGTATGACCATATTTTTATAAATCTACAAATAGTATATAAAACAGTGTTTTATACCTTGCTTTCTTTTATTTGAAGATATATTTACTCAGTTTCCTAATGCTGTACATTTATTAGCTTTTAAATGATGCAACAGATATGCACAGAATGAATTCCTAAAGAGAAACTGCTGGACAGAACAGGCTTTATTGAAATCTTCTTTTCCTTTTCCTAAATCTCATTTTCTGAGTTTTTGAAGAACAGGTAGCAGACCATTTGCTTCTCCCCTGTCTCCCAGTACCTCAAATAGGCCCGAGCCCGAGCTTGGTCTCTCTAACCCCAGTATCCTACCTCTAGAAATTTCTCTTAAGATGATACAAGTACATACAAATGTATGTTTATAATATTGAATAACAATGAAAAATGAAGAGCAAGCTGAGTGTCCTTCAATAGGGGCCTAGGGCAATGAGGATGGTTCCCCTACACTGTGCAATACCTGAAGCATCTAAAGAGAACAGGTAAGGGGAGGGGAGGGATGTTTGGCACCTGGCAGGCCGTATAATCCTTGTTGTTCAGTCACTCAGTCGTGTCTGACTCGGCGACCCCATGGACTACAGCATGCTAGGCTTCCCTGTCCTTCACCATCTCCCGGAACTCACTGGAATTCATGTCCATGGAGTTGGTGATGCCATCCAACCATCTCATCCTCTGTCATCCCCCTTCTCCTCCTGCCTTCAACCTTTCCCAGCATCAGGTTCTTTTCCAATATGTCAGCTCTTTGCATCAGGAAGCCAAAGTATTGGAGCTTCAGCTTCAGCATCAGTCCTTTCAATGAAAATTCAGGGTTGATTTCCTTTAGGATTGACTGGTTTGATCTCCTTGCAGTCCAAGGGACTCTGAAGAGTTGTCTCCAACACCACTGTTCCAAAGCATTAATTCCTCGGCACTCAGCTTTTTTATAGTCCAACTCTCACATCCATACATGACTACTGGAAAAACCATAGCCTTGACTAGATGGGCCTTTGTCTGCAAAATAATGTCTCTGCTTTTTAATATGCTGTCTAGGTTTGTCATAGATTTTCTTCCAAGGAGCAAGCGTCTTTTAATTTCAAGGCTGCAGTCACCATCCACAGTGATTTTGGAGCCGAAGAAGATAAAGTCTGTCACTGTTTCCATTGTTACCCCATCCGTTTGCCATGGAGTAGATGTGACTGGATGCCATGATCTTTGTTTTTAGTTTTTTTGAATGTTGAGTGTCAAGCCAGCCTTTTCACTCTCCTCTTTCACCTTCATCAAGAGGCTCTTCAGTTCTTCTTTGCTTTCTACCATAAGGGTGGTGTCATCTGCATATCTGAGGTTATTGATATTTCTCCCGGCAATCTTGATTCCAGCCTGTGCTTCATCCAGCCCAGCATTTCACATGACGTACTCTCCATATAAGTTAAATAAGCAGGGTGACAATATACAGCCGTGATGTACTCCTTTCTCAATTTGGAACCAGTCTGTTGTTCCATGTCCAGTCCTGTTGTTTCTTGACCTGCATACAGGTTTCTTAGGAGGAAGGTAAGGTGCCTGGTATTCCCATTTCATTAAGAATTTCCCACTGATTATGGAATGATTACCCACTGGGCTTTTGGAAAATGGTCTCTTAA